GAGGCGGGGTTTTTGGGGCATCATAAACGCTCTCTTTTTCCCCCGCAGGCACATGTGAAATCACCCGCTGCAGCACTGCTGCTCCCATGCTGTAACTTAATCCTACTACCCATGTTAATTGTTAAGGCCGCCTACCAGATAGGCTATGGTGAACAATGTACCGTGGTCACCTTGGGTGACGAACACCAGCTGTACCATAATTGCACAAAGATAATAAATGCGCGCTCCGCGCGCCTGAAAACTGAAACTGAACTGAGCCACCCCAAACCCGCACACACGCCCATATATACTAGCTGGGATGGGGCTGGGGCTGGGCGCTGGCATACTAGCTGGGCTGGGGATGGGCGCTGGCTGGCTTGTACTGTAACTGGATCAGGCTGGCTTGCTTCTGACCAAATGTAAAAGTCAGCCGGTAAACGACTGCCTAATAAGCAATGAAGCAATGTGACGTGCGGCGACGGTGGACATCTGCTTACCTGCCAATAATGAGGCGACAGCTGTGTGTGTGTGTGTGTGTATATCATCGGCAGCCGTGAAAGGGGGAAGGGGGGTTACTTTTTTCACTCTGAAGCTCACTACCCGCGCAACCCCTGCTCGCCTCTTTTGCTTTGCTACTCCCAACGGTTCGACCGGTGAAGGGGTTTTATTTCGCAACAAGCGGCAGCTGCTCGCTCCGCGATCGACGGGCTCCCTCCACCCTTCACTTCTCCCCCCCCCCCCCCCTCCCCTACTCCAGCGCCGTCGCGCCGCCAGACTCGAACGGAACGGAACAGAGAGCAGCAGAGAGCCAGTCTTGCGCCAGAACGCGCCGCGGACGGGTCGATTCCTCGCCGGCCGTGGTGTGCCCTTCCCTCCCCGGCCGCGCGCCGCGCGTGTTGAACAACGTCGCGAGTGCTGTGTGTGTGTGTGTCAGTGTGTGGATACCTCGCTGCCTCCCTGTGGATTACAGTGCCTGCCTCTGTGTGTGTGCGTGTGTGTGTGTGTGTCCGAGCCCCAAGAGGATTCAGTGACGCCCGTACGTACGTGAGAAGTTGACCACCTGTGCTTTCTCTGTGTTCGTGTGCTTGTGTGTGTGCGTGTGTCGTCCGCTGTGACGACGTCGGCCACTAAACCGATTACCGCGAGATCAGGACGCGTTGATTACCGGTGTAAGAAGGAAGTGAGGCAAAGCCGGGGAGCAGCGGAGGTCCGCGCCCTCCTCGCCGGGGAGAGGGATACGTCGCCCCCGCGGAGGTCAAGTCGTCCTGGACCAGCCGTCCTAGACGAGCAGCTCGGATAGAGAGGGGCGCTGCCGGAGCAGCTCGTCGACGATCAGGACTTCCCTCTAAGCCGTGTTGCGAGTGATTCCATAATGAGTAGGCGAGGACTGGCACTGGCGCGGCGGCGTGGCTTGGAGCGGCGCGCTGCCCGACCGGCTTGCCCGCCCCTGCGAGGTGAAGCCCCTCCCCAGCATCCCGTGATCGTGATCTCGTGCGCCGATAACGCCAAGGTCCCCTCCCCGCCCCGCCCCGCCGCCGCTGCAGCCGAGCCGGGCTCGCGGCGCGGCTAGGCCCTCGGCTGCCCTGCTCGGCCAGGAACAAAGACCAGACCGAGCCGAGGAGGCGAGGAGGGCATCGCTATCGCTGCTGTCAGCGCGGCCGGCCCGGTGTGTTTCACTTGGCGTCCCTCCCGCGGGGCTCCCCGCCACACCCCCGCCGCCACGGGCCCCGGACCCCGGGCCCCAGGCGCGCACTCTCGGGATGTGTGAGCAGAGCAGAGCGGACCCGCCGTCGGCGGCGCACTCGAGCCGAGGGCGTTTGGAGAGCGTGTCGAGACCCACTTGTGCCCCGCCCGGGCCCTGCAGCCCTGCACGCCGATAAGCCCTTGCTCTCGTGGGGAGTTAAGTTTTTGGACCCCACGGGTGCCTCGGCTCGGCTCGGCTCGGCTCGGCCCGATGACTGGGCTGTGCAGTCCAGCGAGTTCACAATGAAGGCTTGTGAGGGCAGCCTGCCTGCCCTGCCGTGCCGGCCCTGCCGCTGCCGGTCGTGGCCCTCAGCCGCGCGGTGATACTGCCTCGCTGCTCCTGATGTCGGTTTGATGCCTCGCGCCGCCGCCCCGAGGAGGGCTGTGCCTTATTGCGGGAGTCCCGCGCCCGCCGCACTGCAGGAGGAGAGTGACTTTGCAACTGCAACGACCCTCTTCCGACTTGTGCAAGAGTCTCCCTCGCGGCGCTCTGTGTGCCCCCCCAAAGACACCACGTGGTAGACTAACCCCGTCCCCCTCTCCCCC